CACAGGACGGTTGTGAAAATGCACAAATGCACAAAAATTCAGCGCACAGCCCTTTTGTACTGGGAAAAACTACCTTTGCTCTCCCCTTCGTAGCCATGAACCTGGAATTGCTTGCAAGTAAGGAGAACACACTCGGGTGTTTTACCTACACCTTTAAAATGTCATCAGTCTGGAAATTTCAAACGTCAGACTTCGCCGGATACCACTTTTCTTCACGTTCTCTTTTGTTTAGCTTCGGGCTAATTTGCCCTGACAGTGCAGCTGCAGGCCCTGCGTTGCTGTCTGTCATTAAGGGAACCGAGAAGGACCTGGAGGGCCAGAGCTGTGGGAAGTTAATTTGGCGCTAAACCTAACGTTCAGAGATTTCTCAGGCCATGACATGGCACGTCTGTGTCCGGTCACACTTCTGTTTAAGAAGTTCTTGTTTATATTCTAAATATGACCTCTACAGCTATCCTTCCAAGTGCCCAGTGCTTTGAAGAGGGCCCCTGAGGAGCTCAGGAGGTATTAGACTTGTTAAGTGTGTTAGGAGGAATTGTCAGTATCCTTGTAAATGTCCTTTTTCCTTTTTTTAGTCACATAGCAATCCTGTCAGTTGGTGGCAGATTATGATATTGGAGTCTTGTGATAAAAATTAATCAGGGGTATTCATAGGCCCATCGCCACACTTTTTATCCAGAGTCCATTTAGAAGAGTTTTCTCTTTTGCAGATAGGAGAATCCTCAGGTCCATTCTCACTCTAAATTCTCTCACTGAACAGACCAGTCAGTGTATATTGGTTACTGACTTTGAGACCCCCCCCCATGATCAAGAGTCCACCAGATATGTTTTCCTGGTGCACAGTTCTCGGACTTTGGTTCACCATCTAGCCAACCACCACTGGCACCGACTAACCCTGTACTTCCTTAGAGAGCCCTCTCCCAGGTGCCAACTGCTGGTCCAGGTAACCCATCCTCAGAGTGGAGAAAATACAGCAGCCCTGGCGTTCAGTGAGTTATCTGAGTTGCCGCCCTCAGATTCACTGAGGGCAGCCCACGCGTGAATTTATGCTCAAGCCATTTGGGCGTGGGCCTCAGGTTTGCCCTTTGTGATCTTCTAACGACTCTTTGAGACAAAATTAAAGATCACGAACCTTAGCTTGAACTGACTGGTGTCATGGCAACTAGCACTTCACCTTTCACTGGTCCCCATCACGTACATGCTCCAATATTTGTGCACATTAATAATTCATTGCAAAGTGCCAGGTTTCTTTGTGCTGTCAAACTGCGTCAAGGCCAGAATATGCTGTGCTATCTCAGATGTCATCTACCAGACTGTTGAGGGCAAGAGTAATTAGGAAAGAAAACTAGTCCTGTTACTTGGGAAAAATTCCTGAAAGGGCGATGCTTTCTAGCCACCCATTTATGGCATTTTTCTTGTAAAGTAAGGGATAGAATTAGTGTTGATCAAAGTTTATTTGGTAATGTGCTCCAGACTTAAGGCAGGCGTTTGCTTGTGGAAATAACGCACGAGCAGTAATTGCTCACCGCCACTCAGGCAGCAAAGGAAATGATTAACAGCCTTAGGTCTCAGTCACGTGGCTCGGGCTCCAGAGTGAACCCTGAACACTCAGGTTTGAAAAGAAGGCTCGAGTGGTCCCGCTGCGAAGGCGCATATCCTCGGGCCGGCCTTTGCCCGGCACACAGTAGGAACTGAGCAGGTGTTTGGCGGCAGCTTCGAAGACCAGCAGTCTGGGTTCCGAGGCCCACGGTGGCCTTGGGGAGCGTGCTGCCCCTCCCTGTTTCCTAGCACCTCCTTTTTCCCTGTCATGGTAGACCTGCCGTTGCACAGCCTCTCTAAATAAATGACATAGACCTCTCTCTTGGAGTGAAGCAAATACAGTGACACATTGGATTTCATTCATACGGGGGCCAACTTTGTCCCTGATTAGGCAAGAAATCGCATATTTTAAACAAACCATTGACCTGACACTACTTTTTTTTTTTTAACTCACCCCTCCCTCTCAAAAGAAGGCTTCATATTAAAACAAACAAACCTATGTCACACTTTACAAGCTACTTAAAGTGAAGTATTTTTCCCTGCAAAAATGTGTTTATAACCCACAATTGGGAAAGATTTTAGTCATTTAGTCCTGTTTGGATTCTTTTGTTTTCTCTTTTCTCTTTTTTCCTTTAAATACAAAACCAGTAGCTTAAAGGTCCCTCCCAACTGCTTTGGAGGGGGTGCAGGAGGAAGAAGCCCAAATCTCATTTGTGTTTTAGAATATGCAGCCACCATACCCAGCTTCTGTGAAGGAGAAACTAGAACTGATGTCTGATTTCACAGTTAAGTGCAGGTGAGTATAAATTCTGCATAGAGACAGGACTAGGACCCGCCGACGTTGAGCCCATCACTGTTGGGCCAGATCAGAATACAGTGCTTGCACGTAACAGACGTTTGAGAAGCACTCCTGAAAGAGTAAGTGAATACCACCAGACTGATTTCAGAGGAGGGGGCCTTCATTGGTCTCAGAACCTTGCAACACATTAAACTTCAGAAACCGTTAGGAACTTGTTAATCTTCTATCACCTGCTTTTATGTGGTGCTGGGACCTGGATTAGTCATTTAACACCTGCAGGCGACAATGTAGCACATGAATACCGGGAAGTCATTACTGCCAGCCCACTTGGTGTCTGCATTTCTGGTCAGGACCAGCCACCAGCTAGAGTTAGAGGGGACGCTGGCCTTGTGAACCGTCAGTCAGCCGTGCGGATTTGCCGGATCACCAAGTAGCAGATTCTTTCTGGGATTTTAGACTGTGTGTAATTTCTTGGGATTTAATACTGAGTTCTTAGACTTAAGAACTTACAAACAGGGCCCTTCATACTAAATGTCCCTGTCTCCCAGCACTAGGCAAAGTTTTCATACTTAGAAATGATCTCTGGATAACATCAAGAGTACACGTTATACTTTTTAGCTAATCTGGGAACAATTAATCATAACAGATACTTAAGACTTAGAGACTTGATTATTTAAAGGTAGGATTTTCTAGTTTAGATTGGAATCTATAAACTGCTTCGTGACGTTCGTTTATTGTGAATCTGCAATATAATAGCCATCTATAAGCTATAGAGCCTAAGGTGAAGCTATAATGACCTGAAGTACCACAGCATGCCTTTTTTTGGCTATCAAGCAGACCAAAATTAGAATTACTATGATAATTACCCTAACCATCCTGCTTACCACTACAAAGAAATAAAATGAAGCTGAAACGTGTATCTGTCCTACATACTGCAATGTGCCATGCCAGGGCTATAAAGTTCGAGAGAAGCACTGAGCACTTTGTCTTCCACAGTTCTCCCCTCATGGCTGAAAGAATCTGTATCTTCCAGCTTAGTCTGGGGCAGCCAGACAAATCAAAACAATCAAAATCAAATTACCATAAAATATATCTTTATGTTATGGTGAATGGTACCAACTATACATCTTAAAGAAATATGGACAAAGTCAAGGTGAATAGAATAATATTAGATAAAGGCCTAACACACTACCTTTGACAGAAAAGTATTGGGAAACTCTGGTGACAGAAGCACTTTGAAAAGCATAAGAGGCAATATGTAAATATGTGATGAATATTACACTTGGAATTACTTAGGAGGGCATGAGGGGTAGATTGTCAGAGAAGGGAAGAGTTCATGGGTAAAATTTATAGGTGAGATAAGCACGCACATGGGTGACAACAGTGAGGAGGCCCCAACAAATGGGGTCTGAGTTGGAGGTGAGGGGTGTTTCTTGATGGCCGGGAGTCTGACCGGAGAAGACCTTGGGACACATCACCAAGATCCATCTGGCCACTGGGTGCATCACGGATTGCAACATGGAAAAACTTCAGAATGGATGGAATGAGTGTTTTTGATCTTGTGCATGCAAAAGTTGTAACAAATGAGATATTTATGCAAACCTTCGGCGATCCTTAACCAGGAAATCCTCTGAGAAGGGAAGGCAGCTCTTCCTGAAGTCCATTGTGTGGCGTTTGGGTTTTCTAACTTCATAAATCATGGGAAGCTGTGTTGGCAGTGGGCTATAACTCAACAGCAGACAGATTGCTCTTTGCTGCTTTCTTTTAAGAAGCAGGTTATAAAACTGTTGGGAGCCTGGCAGAGTAGTTCATAGATCATCTTAAGCAATTTGAAGTAATTTTTTTTTTAAATACCCCCCTGCCTCTTGAAGGCAAGAGAGCTAGACAGAGGGAGAAGAGAACTTAGTGAAAAAGACCCATGCCGCCTCTGGGCCCATGGCCCTGGGACGTGTGCCGCATGCTCCGCTACACGAGTGGCCCGTCACCTGCCTCCGTGGGAAAGGCACTCCCCGGCACACCCCACAGTGGAGCGTGGTCGTGCAGGGGTTTTCGTCAATGCAGAGTTAGCATTGTGACACGGTTTTCGCTAAAACGGTCCTGTACTTTGACCCTGTTTGGTTTTCCATCCTAAAATACTTTACCTTCTGTTAGTACACTTTGGTAATAAGGCTTTGGATGCCGGAAGAGGATGCAGGGACATCTTTTCACGGGTTTATCACTGTTTTAGACACAGCTATTCGGTAAACATTAACACAAGGCACCTGTTTGTGGATAGGCAGGAGGTCCCTTGTGGGGGGGGGGGCGGTGAAGGGAAGCGGGAGACGCCTGCGCTAAAGTGTCACGAGCATAAAAAGATCTCTGACCTGGGAGTCATTTAGATTAGCAGATAACTATCACTTGAAAGGTGATAAAGAGCCTTCTACTGGTGCTTTCTTTTCATCTGGACGTTGTCCCCAAAGGGTCTTGTGTTACTGTTGGTCACGGCTTCTAATAGGCCTGCCATGCCAGTGACACGGTGGGACGTTAACCAGACACTTCAAGGATCTTCTGTTTTTGATAAATTCGTTTAAAAATAAACAAACTTGGTTTTGTGATCTTGGGTTGGGTTTTAGATGAAACGCATCATGTCAGTTCTAAAGTTTGTGTCTCACTTTTCTTTCAGACCACGAAGGCTTTCCTTCCTACGATGCTAGAAATTAATCATGGTCATATCGTGACAGTTGCGAGTTCCTTGGGATTGTTCAGTACCGCCGGAGTAGAGGTTTGTCGGATGGAAAGCATTTCCTTCATTCAGTCGCTTTATCTCATGATGTATACACTAAAATCCTAAGGAGTACCTGTTGCCTATACATTCGTGAAAGCCCTCTACCTGCGTGCCATTGGAGGAGCGCCCCAGTAACCCAGGGCCAGCTGTGGAGATGCAGTGCTGCATTTTCTGCCATGAAATCGCTTACACTAGCTTGTGCGTGCAGCAGCAATAAGGGAAGGCAGTGAGCCCGTCCTCAGGACACCCCGTTTTCATTAGCAGTTTTGCTTGGTGGCGGTGGGGAGGGACAGAGTCAAGAATCAAGCCATGGAGGGCAGTGGCAGTGCCACAGGGAACAGATAAATGAGGCCAAAGGTTGACCTTCTGTTTTGGTCAACTTGCCAAAAGCGAGCTCTCTTGTACAAGCTCCTCAGATGAGTAGGTTATGGCAGAAGGGAGGTGTCCTTCCTTGTACATTTGTAGAGCTGGCCTGAATCAAACCCTGTTCTTCACCATAACCACATTATAAAGCGTGCGTATGCATATTGTTCTGTGCTGTTTGTCCTGTAACGTGAGACTGAAAGCATTGCTGCATGCATACACAAAAGCACACAGAATAGATGGCTTCCACAGCCCACGTTACCAGCCCTGACTTTAAAGTGAGGTAATGGAGAAGCTTTCTTTTATACCATGTGTCCTTAGGTTACAGCCTAGTTTAAGTTCACAAGGTATAGTTATCATTTTCATTTGTCCTTCGCCCTAAAATGAGAATCAGATCATAACAACTTATAACCTCAGCTAGACTTGTCTTTGTTCTCTTAGCATTAATTTAAACAAACTGGTTTTTCAGTCTCCTTTACCGAACAAGAGACCATTTGTAAATGTTCCAGACACTTCAAAGTGAACCTGTCTCCATTTTTAACTCCAGCTCGTTAGCTTTCATAGAATCCTTTTTGGTAACTTCCCCAGAGTAACACGATACTTGGTTGATGTGGCAAAAAGTGTTCATCTGTTTGTGCTGTTGCTTTGAAAATATTATTTCTGCACTGAACCACATCAGATATCTGTCTTTAAAATGCGTGCCTTTTCTTTGCTTAGTCACCTGTAACCTTTTGTAGCAAACGCGTAACCAGAGTTCGACCAGGGCAGAAGCTTGGGTTTGGCCTGGGATCTGTGCACGTACTTACGGCTGGTTTCCTCCTTTCTCCCTCTAACTCAGGATTACTGTGCCAGTAAATTTGGAGTCGTGGGTTTCCATGAATCCCTGAGCCACGAGTTAAAGGCTGCTGAAAAGGATGGGATTAAAACAACGTTGGTTTGCCCTTATCTGGTCGACACGGGCATGTTCAGAGGCTGTCGGATCAGGTCTGTGAGACCCTATCTTATTACTGATAAAAAGCTGTTTTAAAAGTCATCGTTGCATATCGGGGTAATGTGTGGAATTAGATCCTCAGCGAAGTCAGCCTTGTACTTTCGCTGTCACTTGACAGTTAACCTGTAGTTTTCATTGGTCAACGTGTGTGAAATTGAGGTAAATAACATAAACAAGCGAGGGTCTGGCGCCACACTGGTGTCAGCTTGCCGAAGTCAGCCTAGAAGCATCAGATAAAACATGGCTTCTGTATGCCTTCAAGGAGGAAACATAAATACCCTGGATTTTCCTTAGAAGCGACTTCTTTGGGAGTTAATGTATTTCTTTAATATTAGTGTTGGTAAATACATGTGACTTTGGTGTAGATGTGAAACAATGTCACTGTCACAGAAGAGTGATGGCCTTTCTTCTAAAAAGACCTTTGGATATTACAGTCTAGATTCAGAACCTTCTTTTCTGCCAAGCGTGTATGTAGCTAGATTCACTCTGACAGAATGAGAAGGAACGTTTAGGTTTACTAGAAATGAAATGAAATACCCACCCACTTTGAAAGGAGGCATATGGGAATATAAGTGTCAGGTCACATCTGACTTGAGCTAAGCAGAATAAACAAAACCGTGAGTCATTAAGAGGGTACTTGTGAAGACATGCTTACTTGGAGATCTTTACTTGGATGAATTTGAAAGACGAAGGAAGATAACCGCCGAGTTCCCCGCGTTCCCGTTGGTCACATCCTGACCCTGACCAAGCTGCAAAGTAGGTGGAGGGCAATTTGAGTCCTTCCAGTCTTGGGCTGACTCCGTCTGGACGGGAGTGGACTCCAGCTCTGGTCCTTTCCCGTGTGCGTGTGTGCGTGCGTGTGTGTGTGTGTGTGTGTTGGTTTTTTTCCTCTTATGTACTTAGGGACTAGTTCCTGAGCGTCTGAGGAGCTCTGTTTCCTATTTAGCATCATAGCAGGTGTCCAAAGCTGTGGTGGGACCATGAAAAAGTGAAAGAAATAAATTATATTATTAGGTTATTTCAATGTGTAGCTTATTGAATTCAGCTGAAGGTAGGATGTCTCAATGCACTTCACCTCAGAGACCCCCCTAGAGAAAATAGCTTGGCTTTCCCTATTCAGGATTCTGGGCAAGTATATAGCCAACTTTTATTTCCCTCAGGAAGACTCTGCCAGTGTTTGCACCCATCCTTTGAACTAGACTTAATACCGAAAGTTGGCGTGTTGTTAGGGCTTAGCATTTGTTATGCCAAACACCCTCTCCTTTTTCTGTTGAAGGAAAAAAAATAGAAACATAATTCGAAATACCTTTTAAGGCATTTTTAAAACATGACTCACTTTACAGAAAAGCAGGCTGATTTTGGTGGTGGTGGTGTTTTTTTCTTGTTTTCCAGACTATGCAAATAGAATGTGTTCATAGGGAACTTGGGAAAACACAGAATAGCGCAACGAAGTCAACAGAATGGACCCCAAATCTTGTCGCTCGGATAACATCCCTGTTAATGTTTTGATGGGTCTTTTTCTGGTCTTTCCCGATTTGGTGCTCATCCCTAATTGCGGTGTTTTCCCATGTGATTTGCAGGAAGGAAATTGAGCCATTCCTGCCCCCTCTGAAGCCCGATTACTGTGTGAAGCAGGCCATGAAGGCCATCCTCACCGACCAGCCCATGATCTGCACACCCCGCCTCATGTACATGGTGACCTTCATGAAGAGGTAACGGCCCCTCGCGGCTGGGTCTGCCCGGATCCGCCCCCGGAGCGGACGAGCCCTCCCGGTCGCTAATGCCTGTGTCTCTCCTTTGCAGCATCCTCCCTTTCGAAGCCGTCGTGTGCATGTACCGGTTCCTAGGAGCAGACAAGTGTATGTACCCCTTTATCGCTCAAAGAAAACAAGCCACAAACAATAACGAAGCAAAAAACGGAATCTAAGAAGCTTCTTTTGTGCGGAATATCACCATCAAGATGTTTCAGTCCGATCCACAGCCGCGTTACCCACATTCTCTGGATTCGAAATCATGTCGACTTTTTTTTTTTTTTTTAAATCCACTTTTTAAAAAAAAAATAAAGTGTAGATTCACCGACTAGAGGACTTGGAAAATGGGATCCGCGAAAGCGAGCTCACGTTGTTGCCAATGGGGTCCTTTCTGGGCAGAATCCCCAAAACCAGTCACATCTTTTAGACAAGCACTGTGTGACATTTCCAGGCTACCGTTATTTTTTTTTTAATGAGCAGAAAGTCTAGAGATGATAACAACAGTGTGTTTCATGTGCGTGGTTTTTCCTAATCCCCATAGAGTTTATTAATTCTTGTCCTTAAACTCTAGCCAGTTGACACCCTTGCAACTTCAAGGACTGATAGCGCTCTATTTTCTCATGTTTTCTAAGTTTCGGCTTTGCAAAGCCTGGGTGGCTTTTCCATGGTGATTGTGTGTGTACAGCGCTTTTCAAAAAGAATTATGAAATCTCCATCCTTTTGAATTAAATGCTATTTGATTGTTACAGTAAAGGTGATCAGGTCTCTTTTTTTAAGGTCACAGCGACTGAGGTATTAGCCGAATTTTAAATTGTATCTCTGAAATCTTTCCTTAAGTATCTATTACTCTGGAGACCTAGGTATCAAAAAAAAACAAAAAACCGTACATTTTCTACCTATGAATTTTGCTGCATACAGAAAGTGCCCTTGCCTCAGGAAGCTGCTGGGTTTCATTTTTTGGATGGACTTTAATCTAGAATCCACAGCAGCTCTGCAAAGAAAGCGTTCTAAAAATGGGAACTTTGGCATTTTAAAAAGTCCCCATTTTTGTGCCAACTATGATTAGTGAGGGGGAAAATCTTATCCTCTGGAGTACGTATGGAAGGGTGTAAAGATTCTTTTAAAAGTTTTATTCACCTTGTAGAACCGCAAATGACATTTTTACAGTATTTTTTTGTAAAGCAGACTATTTTGTGCCTTGAATTTGGTAAATGTGTATTAGTGAAACATTGTAAAAGTGAACTTCTACCTCTGTATCTTAATGTATACCATCCACTTGTAAATTACTATAAACTATTATGTGACTGCCTTTTTTTTTAGAATGTCTTGTTTAAACAGCGACCAATGTTTAAGGCTATTAAAATAAGCCATCTTTTACTAATTAATTGGGAAGTTTTATAAAGGACTGATTAAATTTAAAGAATTAACTTACATGCAACCGAGTGTGTGTTTATTAGTTATCAGTAGCGTTGTAGGGAAAATCATCATGGTTTTTGTTTTTTTTTCTCCGTGCCATATCCCACCTTAGTTAAAGAAAAGTGTTTGAATGGGATAATGTTCAGGAACAGATAGACATTAGCGGCTTAGGGGGCCATATACTCAAATGTCCAATGTTTCCATCTGCTAACATTAGATCCTTTACAGGGGCTTGTTTATATTAAAAGTAGGAAAATAGAAAGGCTCCCGTGACCTGTGTGTTTGCACCACAGACGAAATCTGCACTGTACCCACAACTATTGTCCCCATCGTTGGTCTTTATAAGGAACAGTTTCATGCTATGTTTGAAGTTCTCTTTAGAGATGATAGCCAAGCCCGAGGCCATTAAAACAACTGAGGCCCTGGCTGCCTCTTCATTTTCCATTTGGGATTGAAAGGACTTGGAAGTAGAATCCTAACGAGGTGGGCGGAGACATTTCAGAGGTGGTCCAGGACACCTCCGAGTGAGCCCCGACCGAGCACCCTCAGAACACCCTAGAGAAATCTGTTCTCCTTTAACCACCCATTTACCCATCTCAAGACGAAGGAAAGTCTTCCTTACGTTTACTTTTATTCTCATGTGTTGTAATTTAAGCCTCTTTCTATTTTTGTTTGTTACTGCCCTTGTAAGATTGTCCATCGCTGAGTTCAATAAACCTAATTCATTTAACTTCTTTGTAGAAGTCTTCAATTCCCATGTCTGGGCCTAGTTTAATTACATCTGTGGCTCTCCGTTGAACGTTGTCCAGTTTCTCTAGCTGCGGAGTTTGGAAGGGGGGACAGTTAATGCAAGTGTAGGATGCCTGGCCCCTGCAGGCTGTACTTCACCCCAGCATCAGGCTTATTGTAACACTGTAGTGATGATTGTCATTCTCCCCAAATGTGAACGCTCTTCTGGTCCAGCCTGCTTACTGGTGTTGCTCACTTAGGTAGCTGCCAAGGTTGCTTTTCCTGCTAATTATTCATCTACACCCCCCTCCACCCCACCCTACCTTGACTTTGAATGTGTTCTCTTTGCTGTCATCTGGCCCATTCAGGCGTATGTTCAGGGCCACTGGGCTCAAGGGTGACCCCCTGGGGAGACCACTCTGCACCCCCATCTAGAACTGGCTCGTGAGAGTGTGTCCTTCTCTCTCTCTTTCTCTCTCACCTTTCAACCAATTTAATGATAATCATATTGAGTGGGACCCAGGAATCCAAAGTTTTGAAGCCGGCAAAGCTGAATTCCAACTACTGTTTCCCCCTTGATCTGCCAGGGCTGCTGCTCTGTCACAAAAGATTAGATTAGCTTGACAGGATTGAACTACATAAAGCCAGGCTGGGTTTTTTTTTTCTTCTTCTTTTTTTCTTTTTTTTTTTAAGTATCCTGTTTCCCTGAAAGGCTATACCTTTCCAATTTTCCCCAAGTAAAAGAAAAAAAAAAAAAACACAGGCAAATGTCTTTTTCAACGTTTTCTTTTCCTACTGGCAAAAACACTTCTAAATTGGTGTTGACCTGAAGCAAACGTGGATATTAGCTTTTGCCTCCCAACTAAATATAAAATCAGTGGGGGTTGGGGGAGCAGGGTCACTCTTTCAAACATGTCAAACCTATTGCCTGCATCTGATTAAAAAGGGGAGTAGAGAAAGCAAGACTAATGGGTCAGCAGGGCTGGCACCCTGGGCCGGGGAGCGTAGAGTCAACATTTGCCCTGTCGGTTTAACAAATACACTAGGCACATCCTAGGCCCAAGGGCCTAGCCCAGGGACTCGGAGTAGTTTGCAGTGAACTCACCGGGTCAGATCCACGCATCTTATGTGCAGATGCCACAAATGCAGCCTCAGTGTGTGATGAGGTCTCAGCAAGGTGGGAAGGCGAGAGGTGGCAATGAAAAGAAGCCTGGAAGGTTGGTGTCGCAACAGATGGAGACAGGAATGAGAGCTTGAGCGTTCCGCGGAGCAGATTAGCAGGAAAGCCCAGAGGCTGAGAAAGGAAGTGTCCTCATGATGCCTGAAACAGGACATGGGATGAGAATGCCAGGTATTCCCTAACAAAGTCCCATCTTGCAAACAGTCCTCATTCCCGGAGGAAGAATGGGTGCTTCCTTTGACAGTGAGAGAAGAGAGAAGCCCTAGGACAGTCACGTGAGCAGAGTTGTGAGGTTAATAGAATCAAAGAAGCTGCTATAAAGAATTTTGAGACACCCGGAGGCCTGGGGACCAGCAGTGCAGGAGTCCAGCTGAGAGGCGGGAAGGCCTGCAAGAGAGCCCAGCCTGGTAGTGACGATGGAAAAGAAGAGGTAGCTTGGAGAGTGCGCAGAAGGCCTCACCACCGAAGCGCAAAAGGTTTAAGCATGAATGACACGCGTGGTTCACGATGAACCAGGCTGTTTTCCAGTGGGAGCAGCAGCACAAACAGTGAACCTGATGTTGGCAACATTGCATCTGAGAGGACAATACCTGGGGGAAGTGGGGGTGTCCTCAGGAAAGAGGCTCATGCTAAGATTCTGGGGTCTTAGCCTCTGCATAGATGCTATGAGGTGAATGAGCCTGGGATGGAGAACTCAGAATGAGAAAGTCCAGGAACCCAAACCTGGAGGATGTGAGGGAGCAGCGGGAAAAATAGTCATAAAAGGTGGAGCAAAGTAAGGAGGGGAACTTCCTTCTCCCAGGGAGAAGCCAGACTAGAAACAATTATCTCCTCTGCCCAGACCTAATCTTCAGTCTGAGTCACACTTAAGCAACCTCAGTCTGGCCCAAGAAAAAGAGTCTGTGTGGCCAGTCCTGGAGCCAAGGCCCAAAGGTGAAGGGCAGGGCTAACAGATAGCACACGGAGTGCTCCTTGGCACTCGGGCTTCTAGTAACTGAACCCATTGTTAAAGCCACCAACGGAAAATGTCTTCCTCAGGGAAAACTGGTAACTGTAGGTCTCTGGCAATTTTGTTAGCATGGCCTCAGAAACACGCCTTGCTGAAATGTGCAGACAATGGTGCGTGAGAACCCTGGGGAGAGACGAAATGCATTTCGGTATCACCAAATGGATACGTGTTAGTTCAAATGAACCGTTTCCATGTGCCAAAAAGATGGGGCCACCACCAGTTTCTATCAGTCTGCACAACGGGACAGGCTCTTATCTGGCTCCTTCAACTACTGAACTCACAAAAGGCCAACAACTGCTCAGCCCAGGTCCCCAGGTCAAGATGACATCATCACTGCCCTCCCGAGTCACCCAGGAAAGGTCAAGGCAGAGCCATGTGTGACCACAGTCTTCGGTACTATTAATATGACTCTTCCTGGGGCTTGTAGTTCCTATGTTACGGTAGCTATTTAACTGCACTTAACATGATTTCATGACTATCTCTTCGGGACAGCCCTGAGAACCAAGCAGTCACTAATCTAGAACGCTGCTTGCCAAGTAATTATTTCACCTTTAACTTACTCCACTTCCATAGACAACTTACACAATGTGTTCCAGGAGCTTCTCACAAGCTTTTGAGCTGTAATTGTTGAAACCTTCCTGACCACTGGCCAAAAGTAAGAGAATTGGTTAGCAAGAAAAACAAAGCATCTTCAGCCCAGAATCTCAGTTTGAGGTTTTCCTGTCAAGGTGATTTAAGCCACGCTGCAAGGAGAGATGTGTGCTCATAACAGCCATGAAAAATGCCCTTTTGCCTCGCCTACACATCCTGGGTGGTCCACCTGGATGTCACTGGTCAGCCTGCCCTCCCCCACAGGGGAGCAGCCCAAGCCTGACTCCTCCACCCTGACCCTCTGCCTGCAGCTATGTTGTCTCCCCATCTAGCCCGGCTCTGTGTAAGGTCTGCATGGTCCTGGAGGCCAATGGACAGGTGACGGTCCTGGCCCCCACACAGGCACACATATGTATGTGGACAGCACACAGCGTCCTATAGCCGTGGAGTTCTCACTGAAGAACTCAGCATCATCATAGGTTGAATCACGTCCTCCAAAAAGATAATGTCTTATCCCCCAGTTCCTGTGAATATGACCATTTTGGGAAAAGGGTCTTTGCAGATGTAATCCTGATGAGGTCATATGGGATTCAGGTGGGCCCCGAATGCACTCACTGACATCCTTTTAAGAAAAGAGATAGAAACACACAGGAGAGACGAGGGATGCAGCTACGACCAAGGAACGCCAGGGCCTACCTTGCAAGGATGCAGCTAAAAAGAATCAGCTGCCAGATTGTCCCTCAGAGCCTCTGAAAAGGAAGCAGCCCCATCAGCACCTTGATTTTGGATTTCTAGCCTCTAGAATTTTGAGAATAAATTTCTGTTGTTTTGGCCGCTCGGTTTGTGATACCTTGTTTCGGCAGCCCAGGGTCTGCTGTCAGTGCCCTGCCACTCACGAGCCATTTAGCCTGGGCCTTTCTGTTAACCTCCATTAGTGTCGGCCTCCTTAGGTGTAAGCCGGGAATAATAGTACCTATCTCAAGGGTATTGTGAGGGATATCTAAGAGGACACACATACAGCGCTTGGGACTGTGTCTACTCCAAACTAAATGTTGAAGAGATTGCATTAGGTTTGGTGACATAAGAAATGTCCAAACCTGTAGAGAATGTTTATGTGTTTATCTGAGCCAAACTGACCATTGATGGGAAGCAAAACCTCAATGGATAGAGATGTCCCAGAGAATGGCAGTTTTGCAGCATATTTTATACGTAAGGGGGACTATATGAAATCCATTGGTGGTAGATTAGGGAGGTGGGAGAAAGCAAAGCGGGAAGTCTCTGGGATTGGATAAAAAATAAGATGGAGAGACGCATGCTTCTTTTACACTGGTGGGTAGAGGATAGTAAATAATTACCATCTACCGCACACAAAGATGGTATTCGGGGAACAAGATAATGATGGGTTCTGTGCTCTTAACCCGACTCGAGTTCTGTGTAGTGGGTTGTGCTCTGAGGGATCTGGAAAAGGAGATTATGCAACATTTCAAAGGTATGTTATCTTAGATGCCGAAAGAAAATAGGCAGGCTCACTTAAGGTAACGATTGACCTTTTTCAGGGAAGCTGCAGGACTAGGACGTGACTACCTGCCATGACCCGCCTTGAGTTAGGAATCTTATGAGGTTACTTTCATTCTCTAAGTTTGTAAGGCCCGCCATGCAGGCCTCCCCTGAACCTGTCAGGTTTAGTACGTGGCCCTTTTTTTATCCACGGGTTGAATACCCTTGAACCCCCCATTACGCAACTGTTTTGACCTACAAAAAAGGCCATTTCATATGGTTCAGCCTAACAGTAAAGACGGTGGTGGTGGCAGTACTGGTATCAGGGACCCTGTTTATAATACTGTTTGGTTTTTACAACAATTCTCAGCTCTCTGACACCAACTGGGTGTCCTACAGTTCAGTTCAGTTCTGATACTACTCAGAATTATCACAGACCCCACAGGTTAAGGGCTCAGTCCCACAAGACTGCCCCCCACTTCAGAGGCCAGCTGCAAATGTAGGCCCCAGGCTACTGACACATCTGCCCAGCTGACTGCAAATTTGGGGGTTCCCACAACTCCCTCCTCAGCTTTGATGAGATCTTAGAACAACTCAGAACTCAGGCAAACACGGTACTTACAGATTATTATAAGGGCTACAAATGAACAGCTAGATGAAGAGGTACATGGGGCAGGAGGGGACAAGGGGAGGTGGCAGCTGGCTTTCATGCCCTCTCCAGACA